ATACCAAAGCCCCGGCTCGCAGTAGAAAATAAAGAGGTGGTTTTTAGTCAATAAGAGTACTTCAATAAGTTCCTTTTCGGCCCATGACTCTAGGGCGGGAGAAACTATTGGACAATTTCGACCTTTAAAAAAACTCTTATTTCATAAGCCGCCGATAAACAACCCAAAGTAATTCTACTCTAAGTAAAATGCATGCGTTATCCCTTTCCTTCGCGAAGGATTGGACAAAGATGTACATATTTTAATGTTATAAGAAGGTAGAATTTTTACCATATAACAGACACAATGCCAATCCCCATTGATTGGCTTTATTATATTGTATATTAACTATACTTTAATAATACAAAATTCAGGACGATTAAGAAAACATTTAAAAAAGAAACGTGCCTTATTGAATATTCTTTTTTTGAATCATCGAAACTTTCACTTTGAAAGGACAACTTGATTAGAAGATTAGAAAACCATAGACCAATCAAAGTGGTTTTTTGTTAATGCCTTTTGCTATCTACATCAAATAATGAAATCTCTTCTATAAAAATCTTTAAGATTTGCGGTAGAACAGCTTTCGCCACCAAACCGGTTGTTGCAAGTTCAGTTCAGGTGGAACATACAAATACATTGCCTTTTCTTCCTCAAAACGTTTATACATATATTAAGTTTGTTTTCCTTAATTTTGCTTACTGTGTTAACATTACTTAGTCCGCAAAATTAAAGTTTGACTGCACGGTTGGCGCAGTGGCTGGGCAACTGTTACTGGCTGCTGTACAACGTGTCGCGGGTTCGATTCCCGCACGGAACAAAACCGTATGATCGATAAATTGTTGTTTCGGGTCTGGATGTGTTGTGTATGTGAATTTGTATGTTTGTGAACGCATCCACTACACAGGACAAAAACCTAATGGGGGCAATGTTTTAAAAAAAAACAATGTATACATAGAAAAGGGAGTTTTTAAAAACCGACCATGCACTTATAAAGACGAACGCATTTTAACAGAGCATCCTTTAAAGTGAAAGTGATACCAAAACAAAAGGCCTCAACAAATTAATTTCACATGAAATCAATAGAATTGAATCATTTCTAGAGTTTCAAGGGACAGAAATGACAGAAATTTCAGAATGACAATGCATGTATTCAAAGACGTATTATCTAACATTTTGACCTCCAAACGACGTGTTAATAACAGAACTAATAGTCACAATTGTGCTAAACTCTCATTGTCAACACTTAGAGCTGACTACGTGTGAACAGCTCCTAAACTATTCTGTCTATTTGTAGAAATATTACTGTAGTCTTATTCTTAATTTTTGAAATTGGAATTCGTAAATGTGGCCATTATTTCGTTGCTAAATTTCTAGGAATTTGTACATTATGCAAATTGACTTAGAGCCTGTTTTTCCGTGACAGGATTTCTCTACATTTGGCCTTTGTAAATTAAGAAACAATAGGCATTTATATTATCGCGATTTCTTAAGGGCGCCATTTTGCGAGGAATTGTTTTGTTTTTTTTTTCGTGTAGTGTTGACTGTAAATAAATTATCTGTGCAGACAGAATCGTTACGGCACTTATAAATGAAACTCAAATATAGGAAGCATAGGCATAAGGCGGCCATTTTGTCATTTCCATGAAATAACACCTGGGCAATTCCAAATCTGGTTCAGAAAATTAAAACAACAATTCCGCAATCGTCACACTCGATAATTATACCAATAATAAACATATCCATTTTCGATGTAAACTTTAAAACAAATAACCTTCACACCTATATCAAAATCTAGAATGCAAATATAACTGAATTCAATCATGACGGTGCGGTTTTCAAAACACGCAAATTGAAAACTGACGAACAAAAATTTCCCAAAATGTAGATAACAGATTACGTAATACAAAAATCTGACCTAATTCTTTACTGTCAAACTTAATCATACCAAAAAAGAGCTTCAAAACTGATTAATTCTTTACCCAGATACCAATATTAGGTATTAAGATTTTGTCTTAGGAAGTTATTAATTGAATTAATAATATCAACTGTTTTGGTTAGAAACTTTTTCAACATCAGATTGCTTTCTTTTCAAGTTGAAACACGCCCATGTTTACCTACTTACTTTCTTTTGATAATTTTATTTTTCGAGATAAATTCTAACAGGATGCAGCCACATTCTAATACGACTGATGATCAGCCGATGCAGATTAGTCAGTGGGAGAAATCATTTGCTTTTATACTCATCTTACAAAATAATGTAGATTTTTCATAGTTATATTTGTACATATTAATTAGATAAGGTTTTGCGTTTATTGACTTTATAGCGAATTGAGGCGACTCTAATGTCGACACGACTCGATATTTATCCTAACTTAGGTACTGACAAGAAATAACAAGTATCCAAAATAGTTAAAGTGGACATTATAACCAAACTAATAACAGATCCGAAATCCTAAACGATCAAGGTTTTTGATTTGACACAAATTTTTGAATAAGGTGCTATTAAAATCGATAAATTTTTCAAAGATTTTAGATAAGGATTGGCTTTTCAATGCAGCAACTGTTAGTGTTCCAATGCAAATTTAATTACGTAGCGTAGCCTAGCATTTACATATATATAGCCTATAGCAAAGCACAGATAAACAAACACAGTTAGACTCGAACATCACGTACCTTTGCGCGTACGCACGTTTAACAAATCGATCGGAGGACCTGCCATAGTTAAGCAATACTTTGTGACTACGACATCTGTTGACTCACATATATTTAAAACCTCACATCTTTTAGCCTCTTTGGTGTAGGCAGAATAATAAATATGTTTATAATGTACCTAGGTACATAAAATCCAAGAAAGAGTTCTGTCTAGCGAAAAGTGAGCTTGGTAGTGAATGAACCTGTTATGTCACACTCAACATACGCGAGTCCGTCGCGCCGCGTCTCTCTAAAAAACAAACAAACGTTTCTCCCACATTAGTATTTTCTCCTATGTTGTAGGTTGCTGTTGTTTTGTGCGAGAATTGAGTACGCGACACGTTGCGCGGCGCCAACCCAGCCACCGCCAGACAGGGCCCTAAAGGGCTGATGTTCAGCCGGGGTTGCGGGGTAAGCGCAAAGAGGCACCGCGACCTCGGCATAGAGCAGGAGAAGGAACAGAGGGGTTTTTAGTCAGTAAGAGTCTGACACTCCCTCCTGGCCGGCCCTGGGCGGGAGAAGTCATTTGATAATTTTCCCCTCACAAAAAAAAACCCAGCCACCGCACAAACCGAGCAGTCAATGACAGTAAATGACTTTTGTCGCCTGGGACTGTCAGACTCTAACTGACTAAAAACCATTCTGTTCCTTCTCCCATTACAGACCGAGGCCGCGTACATTGTTCTAATCTATACTAATATTGTAAAGAGGTAAAACTTATAAGTTTGTATGTAGGGGGTAATCTTTGAAACCGCTGGCCGAAATTCGATAGATAGCTACAATGTTCCTGAGTGTCATAGGCTATAAAACATCACGCTACAACTAAATGTAGCCGAGCAGCGAGTGAAACCACGCGAGAGTAGCTAGTGACTAATAATTGACTCAGAACCCCGACTATCTCTATCTACGGTCAGTCTAGAAATGAAGTCTAATAATAATTAAACCTAAAACAACTCCATCAGCTAGGCATTCAATTACTTAAAAAAAACAGAAATCGTCCGATTTTTTTTTCAATTAGAAATCAATATTTGGGTTTTAATGGATTATTTATTACCTACAATATTGCTCTCGTGAGTGGTAGTACATAATAATGTATCCATTAAATGTACATCGATACATACATACATATATATACATGTTTGCAAACAAAAATCTTCATATTACAAACGAGTACAAGGATTTTAGATATTACTTAGACATCTTTTATATACATTATCTTCTTCTAGTCGGAAAATAACACTAGATAAGAAATCTGTATTAAGTGTAAATATTAGTTTCTACTAGACATTTCTAATAGGAAAAGCAGCAAAACTATAGCAAATGCGCTATTCCTATAGGATTGGAGCCTATGCGAAGAAATAACCTAATATGAAGCTCCAATCGCAAAGCTAATGTATCTCTATGTAGGTATTAATACTCATCATCATCATCATCCTGCCTTTGTCCCGTTTTATTTGGGGTCGGCGCAATATGTTTTTTTCTTACATTCTGTCCTGCCACCTGTCGTGTAGGTACTAATACTAAAGACTCAAAAATAATAGGAACCTACAGAAATATTTATAAATATTTTAAGTTTTTTTGATTTAAGTTAGATAACTCTTGGTTTTATTTACGTACAGTTTTAATCACAATCAACAGTAATAAATTTAGTTAGTCAACATCTAATTAACAAACCGAGTATTGATGCTGTGAACAGTATTAAAAATGATTCGTCTTGGTCGTCACGAATATTCTTACAACGCTTGTCACGTAAAGTTGCAAGATACATAATAAAGTATATTTTAATTAAATATTACAAAACATTAAAACCTCTACGGTCAAAACGAATGCATACCTTGACTTTAAAAAAGTTTAGAAATAGGTACCTATTATAAGTCGGCTTATCCAACCTTGTTGGGGAGTTTCGTAATAGTTTTCTATAAAACTCATTCATTAAAAAAGTATCGTTGTAAAAAAGATCAAGTTAATGAGGCTATGTTAAAGTCATTAATGTCTATTTTTCAACCAGCTTCGTTTTTGCTGAGAGAAAGTTTAACACATTCCGTTCGTTAACGGAACTTAGACTCTCGGAGATGTGAATAAAAACCACCTTTTTTAATTCATACCACATTTAGATGAGCTTAGCATTTTGCTTAACAAAATTAGGTCAACTAATTTCTAATTTCGAGAAATTAGGAATTAGCTACATAAAACCTACACGAAAGAACCGGTTCAAAAGTAAAACGAAAATAAAAAAGGAGGTCAAGAACAGGAGGTCAGCACAGATGATTAACTGACAAACTTTTAAGTGAATGGGTTAAACTTTTATCAATAATTTAGGTACTTACACTCCAACAACTCCTGGCAGTTCTCCGAAGAAATCCTTCCTGACTTCAGACTTATATTTGACGAGGCAAGGCATAGCAGGACGGAACGGCGTCGGCCCTTCCCGACGGTACATCCGCTCTATTTCATCCGCATCATAAACGAATAGCAGATCCGGTCTTCCAATCAAGCCACCTAAACGCACAATCCTCCCATAAGTGTCCAAAAAATGTTGGGTCACTTTCGCGAATTCTGAAATATCGAACTGCCCGATTATAGGCACCATCCGCCACGTATTCCCCAGAATCGGGATCGGTCTTGGTCCAGGCACTTCGGAGTAAGGTTTAGCATTTGAGAAAATTTCTTCACTCAATTCCGCAGTTGGGGCTATTTGGGAACGTTGCCGTTTTGAGAACGGGCAGCCGGTGGTTGCGTATCGGGCATTTTTCACTACGAACGGCTGCGTGTAGGCCGCAAACGTGCGGAGAGAACGACCCATGGCGGTTAAGGCCGCGACGACGACTGCGCGCACGCCGCTATCGAGATCCTAGGGTGTACCGTTGCGCGGGAGTCGACGTTGCTTCTGACATTGCAGTCATGGACGGCAATTACTAGACGTTCTCTTTCTGCAACTGATTGTTCGATGATAAAATATAATACGGTTTAAGTATTTAGTTTAGTGCAATAATCAAGTTTTAGATAAAATTGGAATTGATTTTATAAAATACAAACGCAACTGTCGCAGTACTTGGCCTACTAAGTAGGAATAAAGAATATCTATATCTATGTCGTGATTTATAAATTACTTTTCCTGTCACAGTTCTGCTGAAAAAATATCCGATTGGAATATTTAGCAACTATGTACTATGTAATTGAGTTGTCCTTTGTGCTTTACGTGTGCGCATTATTAAATAAATAGATACTTAAAGTTTTTCAGTTTCGAAGTTGATGCTTGACCCAATTTTTCTAGTCTCAATACGTATTATACCTAGGGAATGCAAAAATCCACCAATAACATAATTCGCTCACGTATGAGGTTCTAACGTCACCAAACCAAAACCGTTTTTTTATGTACTATATGTAGGTCGGCAAACGAGCAGACGGATGACCTGATGGTAAGCAATCAGTGCCGCCCATGTACACCCGCAACAACAGAGGAGTTACGAGTGCGTTGCCGACCCTTTAGAGATTTGGGATTTGGAGATTTAGGGATCGGGCCTCCGGTAACCTCATTCACACGGCGAAGCACAACGCTGATTGTTCACTCCGTTCGAGCCGACCCATTTGTGTCAAAGCATGGCTCTCCCACAGTTATGTTATATTTATTTATTTAAATGACATGCCAGCGCCACCTGGAATCAATTGACCCTTAAAAATATCACGGATACCTAAAGCTATTAGTTAGTTATTTAGTTCAGTATCCGAAGCCTTTCCGCCACACAGGTTTTATACAAACGAAATTTATTGTATTGTATTCGTCATATATCATATAGTCTCGAAACTGTGATGTACGTACATTTTATATTATTTAAATATCCTTTTTTGTAAGGGGAATATCCTAAAATGACTTCTCTTGCGCCCAGGGCAAGGCGAGAGGGACGTTTAGACTCTTACTGACTAAAAAACCCCCCGTCCCTTATCCTGCTCTATCTCGAGGACACGGTGCCATAATGCGCTTGCCCCACTACCTCATATATTATTTAAATGTCAACAGAAGTTTTAATACTTCTTATAAATAATTACTTTTGTCCAAGTTTTCATTGAATACCTATCATAAGAGAAAGCAGAACTAAAATGCGCAGAGTTTTATATCAAACCGAAATAGGAATAAAATCGTTTATTGTTTCGCGTGTAAGGCCATTGTCTGCGAATATTATAAAGTCATGATCACGCAATGAACTCAAAACAATGTTAAGGCGTCAATAATTAGTCGGATAATTTATATTTGCTAATTTAGTAAATTAACAACCTAAGTAGGTAAACGTAACGTCAAGTATTCATAACAATACAGATAAAATGCGAAATGTTATATTAAAATAAAATATACGACTAAGAAGATACAATAATTATGAGCTCTTTTGCGCGGGGTTGATGGCTTAGTTATTATTAAAAGTCCAGGTAGAATCTATTTAAACTTAAAACTAATCTAACATCAGTTCAATGTTCCTGGTATTGTTTTACAACAAATAAGGAAAAGAACACTCCAAGCCGCGAAAAATTGCGATGTTTATGAAACTACTGAGAACGAAGTACTGGGAGTAGCACAAAAATATTCAATCCGGAAATTTTAATGTCCGAGATGCAGGTCGCTCAAATCAAATCAAATCATTTATTTGTTAACATAGGTTAATAAAATACAGATATTATAATGTTGTTGACACAAAGCGCTATGTTATGCCAGGAGGCGTACAAATTTAATATGGTGTGATAATCTACATAATTGAGCAATAAAAAAAATATAATTACTAAAATTTGAAAATCTTGTTATCAGAGGTTAGAGTGAGAGGTGAGAGTGTCAGTGTCAGAGGTTATTTTTATCTAGCCAATCTATAATAGTACTCAGCGTGTCATTTATATCTTTATTATATACAATTCGGTCTAGGCATTCAATCAAAACTGTGCTATCGTCTGCAAATAATGTGACCGGATGACGAGTTTGACGCGGTAGGTCGTTAATATAAAGTAAAAATAACAAAGGTCCCAGTACGCTACCCTGCGGTACTCCAAATTTAGGTACTCTACTGGAGGAAAAGTATTTTAGTTCACGCTTTGTTTTAGTACATACTCTTGAGACTTCTGTGTATTGCTTTCGATCACTGAGGTAAGACTTAATTAGAAATAGTACATTGCCTCTTATGCCATAGTCTTCGAGTTTATTTAGCAAGATGTCATGTTTCACATAATCGAAAGCTTTTGTCATGTCTGTGAAGATTGCGCATATAGGATTTTTCTGATCTACATTTTTCATTATTACTTTCAAAAGATCAAATATCGCCATGTTGATATTTTTATTTTTTCGAAATCCCTTTTGCTCTTCGCATAATATATTATTTTTTGTCCCAAATGCATAAACCGATTCATAAATAATCTTTTCGAACACCTTAGAAAATACTGGAATTAAAGCTATGGGTCGGTAGTTAGCCATGTCCTCCTTAGAGTTTTTTTTTATGTGGTGGTTTAATAACAACGGTTTTCAATTGGTCTGGAAATATACCTGAGCTTATGCTTGCATTCATTATATGACTGAGCGGTTTGGCTATGATGTCCGCAACAAATTTAACTGCCACTGTGGAAACCTCATCGTATCCACAACGTTTTTTGTTTTTTAAATGCATTATAACTCGTATAATGTCTTGCGGTAATACTGGGGGCATGAATAAAGAATTACTGATACTGGATTGTAGTTTAGTCTTGCCCGGATGTTTATTATTTATATTCTGTACCTGATCAATAAAAAAGTCGTTAAATAACTCAGCAATCTGCTCAGGATTTGTAACTAGTTTGTTATCTTTTTTTATTTTCACAATAGGTTCTTTTAATCGATTTTTACCATTAATAATTTGCCATGATACCTTAGATTTATTTAGAGAACAATTAATAAGATAATTGTTTTGAGCTTTTTGTGTGAGATTTATTATTTTTTTCAGTCTCCGGGAATAATTTTTAAATAAATTTTTGTTTTCACTTGAAGGCGCTTTTCTATACTTCCAAAGTAGGTCTCTTTGTTTTCTGCTTGAAATCCTTATTCCGCGTGAAATCCATTTCAATTTTTTATCAGGTTTTACGTTTATTAATTGGTTTGGAAAGCATAAGTCATAAAATAAACGAAATACCTCTATAAACCTATCGTATGCTTCATTAGGGTTGCATGTTGCGAAAACTTCCGAAAAGGTCAGACATTGAAGATGTTTTTTGAATAAAGTTAAATTTTCTGTAGATAAGTTGCGCTTATTAATGCGCTAAGAGTTTATTACGCAAGTTTTGTTCACATGCATTTTTAGAATCTGGGCAGTGTGGTCGGATAGTGCAAAATCAATTATTTCACTCGCACATTTTTGTCTGGAATTATGAGCAAAGTTATCTATACAAGTGCCGCTGTTGGGTCTAGTCGGCTGCTTGAATTCCAATTTTAGATTATAGGCAATTAATAAACTTTCAAAATCTAATGTTAAGTTATTTCCTTTTAGTGTATTAATGTTAAAGTCACCGCATAAAACAATTTTTTTGCTGGGTTTAGTACACAATTGTTTTAGAAAAATATTTAAATTATCCATAAAAGAATTTATACATAACATGTTCGGAGGTCTATAAATACATACAACAATTAGTCCCAATTCAGATAATTCTATTGCACAATGTTCAAATAAACCCGGAATAGACATGTTAGGAAGTTCCCTATATTCAAACCTATTTCTGATAAGGATACAAGCCCCTCCACGCTTCTGGTGGCTTCTTGAATAACACGACGCAAGCTTGAAATTGGGTTTTAATTAAGGATTCTTGACCTGCAGTTACAAAGTGTTCTGTTATGCACAATATATCAATGTCAATATTTTTTTCAGTGCGTAACTCCTGAATATGAAGCGTCAATAAATCAGTTTTGTTTAATAGTCCAACAATGTTTTGATGCAAAATGTTTATGTGGTTATAATAGAAAAAACTGATCACTCGTTGTTTTGGAGCTTTCTTCTCCAATTGAAGCCTCAGCAGTACTGATTGATGGATAACTCTTTTGAAATTCAGACTTTGCGGTTGGCACAATTTCTTGAGAACTGAATACGCTGTAATCATATCTTATCCTGGACATAATCTGTACATAAATGTTTCTCCATCCATTTTTATTTATTTTCCCAGTGCGGTAGGAGAACATTTCATCCGTTAATTTATCGTTGCTATCATAGAAATACGCGTATTCATTGTTTTTTATGTCTGTCAACAGGAGGTTACCGAAAAACTCAACATTATAATTATGGATTAATGCACCTTTTATGTAAGTCGGGGCGCAGATAACAATATTCGTATGTATTATATTTTTAAGCGAGTAGTTTAGGTTGTGTAGTATATTTGCGTAGTCACGATTTTTCAGATCTTTTCCGTCAATGAAGATGAGGCAGTAGTCATTAATTGTGAAGTCTTTAAGTTTGTATTGAATAGTCCTTAAGAAATCTTTTGAGGTGACATTAGGTACTAAATAATTACAGTATTCAAAATCGCTGGAGAATACTTCTTCGATTAAGGGAAGAGTACCCTTTGTGCAGTTACTGCTTTTAATAAATAATTTATTCTTATGTGTTACGCCTTTGACATTTCTGCTAGCAAAATTACTTTCTTGTGCTTCACAACTGTGTACTTCCATAAATTGACAGGAGTTAATACGTTCTGTCAACAATGTAATCTCATGTTCAGCGTTCTGCAGTTTCTTTTGAAGTAAAAATATTTCCTGCTCCAGGCAGGCGATGCACATGTTCATTTATCTCATCTTTCAATGAGGATGACGATGAGGAGGACGTAAAAGAAGTCTTGTTTTTTAGCTCAGACTTCTTTCTCTTTGTGTTAGAACCCGGATTTTTTAAAATAGAAGGAGATTGACACAGGGACTTTAAAGTGTTGATTTCCGTGGATAATTTGTTAATATGCTTTTTTAAATCGGTGTTCTCTAACGATACATTTTCTAATTCATTTTCCGTACTTTCCAATTTCAGTGTGAGTTGGGCAATTGTCTCTTTCATTTCTGAACTAGGGATTAATTCATTTATAGTTCCATCAACGCTTCTTGATAATAATCTATTAGGAGTTGAGTATGACTCATAAGATGTATCGCCGTCACGTTCAGTAAGTATGTGGGAGTCTGATAACATTGTACTACTTGACTGTGTGTCTGGTACTTCTTCCTTAGGCGACGGGGTCTTCAAAGTTGTTTTTTTTCTTAAAGTAATGCCGGATAGATGGTTCGTCGCAGCATATTTTTTATTCCTTATACACATCTTACAGCGCCATTTTTGTTTTGATTCTGCGTCCTTGAGCCGATAGGTGTGTTCTGGGTACCCATCGCAATCAAGTTCATATCTGTTATCGCATGCCGAACACAGGGCGGTACTAATAATGTCTACCTTCTTTTTACATTTATGACATGTTGTAAGCGATGACATTTTACTTGACACACTACTTATTGAAGACATTGCTTTTATTGATTTATTTAAATTTATAAAGTAAAACGTGGAATCACAAAAAGTGTAGGCGATTAGCGGGGATCGATCCAGGTACCACGAGAACGTCAGCCCTGCTCTTTACACACAGGCTATCTGGTACTCGTTTAAAGCTGTTGAAATAGAGGTATAGCTTTTTGTTTTTAGAAAAATAATTTGTTATTATAATTTTAGTATTTTTGAAATTTTAACGGTTTTCACTTTTTGCACTTTTTTTCTTCTATATTTTTAATTTTGTCACATTCACTTATTGTTTGATATTCACTATTATGTTTATATCTAACCAGTACATATATCACTAAACTAATAATGTTTAATCACTTCTGACTGTTCATATGATGAACACGACTATAACTTTGTTCACGGTAATCTTAGTAAGTAGATAACAATATCCCAGGTAATTTATACTATTTATTCAAGTTGGAATACGTTATTTTAAAGAAAGCAATAGGTTCACTATTTTTTTGAAAATTTTTACACGGAGCTTAATGTTTACTTGACAGCGCAGCGCCATCTACTCGCGCTCCTGGTCACCTTGTTACGGATAAAATACATAGAGGCCATTTTTGTAAAAGTGGAGCAAGTTCAGCATGTCAATAGTTACGACGTAGCTGAAGACCCGAAGCCGACTACGAACTAACTACAAAACATTTGCATTGCATAGGCGCATTTGATAAAACACAAAAATGCCCGGATAATAATAAGTATTCGGATACGTACCTACCTGACGAGCAAGTCGAAAGAAACCTAATGAACCGCATAATTCATTTTTGATTATTTATTACGGCGTAATTAAACCAATAGATAGATTTTTGAAGAAGCTGATAACTGGTGATAATAAGTGCTTGTGAAAAAGGTCGTAGTCAAAGGCCGGCTTACCTAATACCCGCAGCTTTCAACAGAAACCCTGGAATAACTCGTATCTAAGCTCGAAACAAAGTGATACTGTGTCTGTGGTGGGATTAGAAGGGCATTATTAATTATAACTGTTCGCACCAGGCAAAACCATCGATTCTGAACTCTACTGTGAATAATTGATAAGAATGAAGCAAGAAGTTAAGAGAAAGCGGCACGAATTAATCAACAGAAGGGGTGTGCCTTTTGTTTTTCATCGTGATAACAATGACCTCACATTCTCAGAATCAAGCATCCGCTGTTTAATCTACCTTCAGATTTCCACCTGTTACGATTTTTCAGAATTCTTTAGTCAGTGTCAGGTTAACATCACTAGAGGACTGCCAAAACAGTTGTCGCAGTATTTTGATTAGAAGTCCCAAAAATTCTGAAGCAATGGAACTATGTCCCTACCTACAAGATGACAGAGTTAATGTGAGTGAATCCCCAACAGGTCGACAACGCACTCGTAACTCCTCTTTTGTGGCGGGTGTCCACAAGCGGCGCTGATTGCTTATCATCAGGTAATCCGTCCGCACGTTTACCGAACAATCAATTTTTCAAATAAAAAAATTAAAATTTTATATGTTAAATGTTCAAGTATCTTTTAAGTTTATTAGTATATTAATTAAACCCTGTCTTGTCTATGAAGCTCGAAAAATAGTTTGATGCACTCTGCTGGGTAAGTCTCTAACACTCTAGTCGTACAATAATATATTATTAAGTATACAAATATTGTATTTAAGAACTATGGATGGATCAAAAAATATATAATATATACGGGGAGTAGGTACCTACGATCTATCTATCAACTATTAAACTGCATTTTTGCTCGTTCTTAAGAATAGATGGTGCTTTTTCTTTTACTATTAATTTATAATTTACATTGGCAATATAGGTAATGTATTTTTACTATAGTAACTATCGACACGAATGTCAGCTGTCATTCTCACATTTAATCTTCCTAATGTCAGATCTATCAACCAAAGTAAACAAAAACAAAAATGATTAATAAACACTAAAATAAACTGATAAAATACAATAAACTTCCAAAGTATTGAATAAATAGTGACATTATGATATCCGAATTCGCAAAAGAAAAAGTATATTGGACGCGGAAAATGAATTTAAAATTAGTAAAATTCATGGAGAGTAGACCGAATATTTGGAACCCCAAACATCCAAAGTACACTTCATTAAAATATAGAGACAAAACATATGCGGAGTTTGCTTCTTTGTACGGTAACGAGTTCACAGGACAGATTGTAAAAGATCGTTGGACGAATATACGATCTACCTTTGCCAATTATTTGAGAAAAGTAAAAAAAGCAAATGAAGCTAAGGGGGACGGGGAGGTATTTATTTCCAGTACATTTATCTTACAAAGAAAAACTTCTATAGCTGCTTTTAAATTGGTATTAAAAATATTTATCTTTTTTTATTTCAGCCTTACAAGGTTACCTGGCACTTATGGGATGCTTGCAAGTTTCTACTTAAAGTTAATAAAAATGTTCAAGGGGATGATAATGACTACACTAGTACTGATTTAAAGGTAAGAAAAAGCCACTAACCACTCCTCCTGTCATTTCAATACTCATCTTTAGTGTACAGATCATCATCAGCCAATAAGACCCTATTGCACCATAACAAGGCCTCTCAATAGAACAAGATTTACCTAATACAAATTAACATTCCAACCTTTTTTCCAGGATGAAACAGAGCAAGAAGATGTATCAAGTAATTCCGATAACTCAGAGAAATCATTTAACAACAACCCTACATGTCAAAATATTGCAAATAGTATTTTAAATGTATTCCGTGGAGTTCAAAATGATGTGTTCGGTTTAGAAAACACAAAATACGGACAAGTAGGTCAACTAGTGGCTCAAAAATTATCACAAATGAGTTCTTATGACGCAGCACAAATGTCACATAAAATAACTGAAATATTATTGATGTACCATGAGGATAATCCTTTAAATCCGAATAATGTTAAGTCAGATCTAAATATAAACTAAGTACTACTAAATATTAAGAAATAAGTGAACAAATTGCTAATGCTAAATTCAATATCAAGACTGCCACAATATCAAAATATTTTTTCTACAACAATTAATGCAATGTTGGACATTGGTGTCCAATGTAAGAGGGGACAGACTTTATTGCCAATTGATAGAACCTAGGTTAATCTGTCTATGCCTGCCATTAATTACTTACTATCACTATTACACTGTGAAATATATGTAAAATAAATGCTGTCTAATAAAAAAAGAGGATTAAATGAAAGATAATTTATTTTAGAGCATGATTTTTTTTATTTTTCTTTTATGTCATACTTCCAGGTCACTGTCATATATTTATTTTTTTGGTATGTTTGTATTATTATTATATACTTTTGATATCTTCACAAATAGTTTTAAAATCATCTCTTTTCCATTTCGTTAGTTCTGCTTCAAGATCTTTTGCTTCAACATTATTAAAGTCTTCTTCATCTGTAAGAGTTCCATATACATATTTTTAGATTAGGTTTACCCTTAAAATATAAAATAAAATAAAGTATTTATAAAAACTTAACTGCTTATCTTATAACAAACAGTATTACAAAAAAAAAATTACATGTAAGAACTTGCCACCCAATCAAATGTGATAGAAAATAAATCAACTTGTTACTACTAGTACATAATGAAATAGATTTTTAATTCCGTCATGCATTCCTTAACATACTGCCACAAGAGAGATACCATGCAAATAACCATACATAATGGATTAAAAAAAATACAATTCTCACCATAAATGGGAAACCATCCACTGAGCTCTAAAACAGCTACATTGAAGGCAGATAACTGTTTAGCGCCAGAAGTATTTCTCCGTGGCCAAACTATCAAATACACCACATCATCCCTTTCACCCAATCCCCTTTTAGTAAAGAGAATATTATGAGCAATAGACTTCTTCAAAAAGTATTCTAAAACTTTCCAAACTTGTTGCAAAGTCTGATTACATGAGTCCTTTTGTATTTTAAAACAAAATGCAGGTACTGTAGAATTTTCATCCAAGGTATACATTTCTCCTTTGAAGTGTTGCCATGTCTGAAAATAATTTTACTAATTTAATATGGCAATTTTAGGAGCAAGATTTTACAAAATATTTTTTATCTATGTAATAGACATCATCTTTTTTTGTTTGATTGAATATGCTCTAATCTCCAGAACTACTGGATAAAATTGAAAGTATATTTTTTGTCACATACAGCCTATTCTTGAGAAAATCTTTAGGCCATCAATGTCTTAATACTAACCACATTTTCTATTCGCCAAGTTTTTTCTTCAACAAACAGATGATAGTGCAAATGATTGACGGATGCAAAACCACAAATACTATTGAATCCAATTCTTACATCACTGAAAAAAAAAAATACAATTCAAACATGATTTTTACAAGTTTCACTTAAAGATTTAAACTTATTAAAGTTATTGTAAGTGTAAAATTCATGCTAATCCATGCATCTAATACATGCAAGCATCCAATCAGAAGTGAATATTTTTTATGATTTCTGTACTTGCCTACACTCACCCATCTTCAATTTGGAACATGATCTGTACCACTAACTTCAGACTGTTGAGAGTAACTACTTGAGGTAGACATTTGTTCACAGATGGGCAGAGCAATGAATGGTACCTAGATATCGGACTCACATTCACCAATACTGTGTGTATGTCTCCATCTGAAATAGTAAATGGGAAAATCAATTATTTTATTGAGCCTTCACTATGTATAAGTTATGCTATAGTCCATCGATAGAAGAACTTATTTTCTATCTACACTCAATAGATGGCGCTAGGCATGCCAATTTGCTTTTACCTTATCAGTTCATATTCGTTTAGATATGTTATAATTAAAGTGTTTCCTACAGATAAGGATTAAATTCAATTGGGAAGGGTTCTTAATAAAATAAAATCTCCACAGAAGTAGACCTTACCTTCGCCTTCCAAAGAAAATAATATCTCTTTTGAGGAAACTTTATTAAAGTTAAATTTGTTTTCATCGAATGGTTGACAAATATTAGTCATTTCTTCAGGAGTTCTTCTTTTGGACCGTCGATCAGGGTTTAACTGAAACAAAAACCATTTAAATTAGTACCCAATCCAAACTTAATAAAAATAATATGAATATTTAAATGATCACCTGTAGAAAATATTTCCCATCAATAATCCTTTCCTTCAAATCATCAATTTTATACCGAAATATGTCGGTTTCATTGTGAATTTCATTCCATTTCGTTTTCAACAAACTCGTAAAACTAGTTAAACTATCACTGGTCAATTTATTTAATTTGTACATTATGAAGATTATTTGGAATGGTGTTTTGTGCCAATATTCCACGCAATAACACAGAACAGATTTAAATACCTAATTCAGTATTATAATGTTTATTTTGATTGAAACAACCTAAAAATGTAATGACAGATTGACAGACTTTCATTTTGTTAATTTTTTTTTACTCCAGTAACAGATCTTTTGGCCTCTACTTCCCGGCACATAACATGACAAGATTTTATCGTAGTCCGGGTAGAGTTTCGAATTCTCTAATTTCCTTTTATTGTTGATGGTGTGAAAGCGTGTGTAACTGTGACTATCTTCAATTTATGTACAACTTCCTCATTTCTTAAGTACGCTGCTCCAGTTATAGATGAATAAATAAATTTTAGGTTGTTTATTTATTATTATTTGTTTAAGGTATCCACTTACACACAAGAATATAAGTCTCTATTAACCTCTTGCACTCCCCCGTTTGACCTTGTCCCGATCTATCATTCAATTGCAACTGTCAAGTATGCATATGCGCAGGATGCAAATAAATTAATTAGACGACAAATATCCATAACTGCTTACCTACTGTAGCACACGAAGCATAGGTAGGTACTCAAACATGATGGACGTAGCCAAGTAGACAAGCTTCTTACCGCAATAGCTGCGCAAAGTATATCGGGTTTGATTCCAGTACAGAAATAAATATTGTTTCGAGTCTTTAGTCTCACGCGCCTCAACGAGGCATCAGTTCACCACAGATCTCCACTGACCACCACAGACTGTCCACTGGGGGCAAGTCCAGCTGACGTTGCGAGTCATGCCAAGGACATGATGTTTCGCGGCCCTGCTAGGAGTACTTTTAACTACTGAGTGTCCGACACCCCTCTGATTATATGCCTATTACGAAAAGGGGCGATGTGCATGACACCGGCTAAAATATTAGTGTTCTCTACCTCATTCAAAATAAACAATACTTACGTATTATCAAAAAGGTCAGAGGCGGCCAACATGTTTGCGCCTGCAATTTTTTTTTATGATTTAGATATTATTTACTGACGTATTAGTTGATGTTGTAGCGACATCTAGCGCACTACATAAACAACAGCACCAATCACGAGCAAGAATCTACATCGCGCTATAAGAGTTTTCCACACAATTAGCACCCATACAGATATCCCGACAACAACCGTCGGGCAGTAGCCCAGCCAGGCACGAACACCTCGCCTGGTCGGAGGATCCTCCCTTTTCAATGAAGGATGAGGAACTTACCACCCTATTCCTCATACCTCTAAACTGGTGAGCCCGAGCATGAACATCAACGCAGCCTTCGTGCAACTACGTCGAGCTTTCAAGCAGCGAGTCTAAGCAGCGAGTCTACAGTCAGCCAGCTTCCATGGCTACAACGGGTACCCTGACCACCAGCATGCAGCCAACGCGCATTCCTGGTCAGCACCTACAGCCTCATCAGCAACTTCGGCACAGCATACTGCACCGGCCGGTCAGCAAGCAGAGACGTACTCCCTCTCCTGGTCGACGCAGCAGCTAGCCACTCTTCAGCACCTACAGCCTCATCAGCAACTTCGGCACAGCATACTGCACCGGCCGGTCAGCAAGCAGAGACGTACACCCTCTCCTGGTCGACGCAGCAGCTAGCCACTCTTCAGCACTGCACCACCCGACTCACTGGGGCATCTTCGCAGACAGATATGACGCACTGAAACCATCAACTGGCTCGACAAGCATCTCACAGACGTCTCAACCAGCTAACGACCTCCGGTCTCGGAGGGGAGTGATGTAGCGACATCTAGCGCACTACATAAACAACAGCACCAATCACGAGCAAGAATCTACATCGCGCTATAAGAGTTTTCCACACAATTAGCACCCATACAGATATCCCGACAACAACCGTCGGGCAGTAGCCCACCAGGCACGAACACCTCGCCTGGTCGGAGGATCCTCCCTTTTCAATGGAGGATGAGGAACTTTCCACCCTGTTCCTCATACCTCTAAAATGTTAACACAAGTGGTAAAAAGTTAAGTACTAGGTATGTCTATTTTGCTACTTTGTTTGTTCAGTAAATATGAAAGATGGGACATAAATAAGGTAAATGTAACTAGTCTCTTAAGAAACATCAACACACAAAATTTAATAAGGCACTTTAGCCGATCCGACAGCGTTTTGACTGCACGGTTGGCGCGGTGACTGGGCAACTTGCTGCTGCGCAACGTGTAGTGTCGATTCCCGCACGCAACAACCCTTTTTTTCCGGTTCTGGGTGTGTCCGTATGTGAAAATGTATGTTTGTAAACGCACCCACGACACAGGAAAAAACCCTATTGTGGGCAATGTTTTATTTAAAGAAAACAAAGAAAAGCTGGAACTACATAATTAATCTTAAAAAGTTGGCGAATTCAAATCTCTCATAACTACTTATTATTAGTTTATTTATATTTTTTTTTTTTTTTTTTTTTTTATTGATTATAGGCTCGCGCTTGACCGCTATCTCACCTGATGGAAAGCGACGATGCGGTCGAAGATGGAGCGCGCTTACCTAGAAGTAACCTATTCACTCTTGACTTAAAGATACCCGGATTGTAGCTATCAGGAAACACCGACTCCGGCAAGGAATATTCTATGTAGTATATGTATTTTATGTACTTATACTTTATAGTTATATTAAGTATTGTATATTATAGAATACCCTACCTGATGTTTATTTGTACAATGATATTCATATTTTTATTATATGTTTATATACTTATATATAGGTACTGTCTAAGTAATGTATTTCTCTTATAGTCATAAAATTTTGTTATATATACTTTTGTCACCTGCCACTCTCATCTCTCCACCATCTGAAGGTCGACTGTCAGACAATGCCTAAGGCATTAAGTCCACCTGTACATTCTTTTGTATAAAGTGTATAAATAAATAAATAATTAGGTACTACATATTATTATTAATATTATTCGCGGCTATCAAAACCACAACGTTGTTATAAGTAAATAGGTAGGTAAGTACTTATAGTCAGTCACTCTGACAAACAAGTACCTACCTATTAGTTTTTAGGTACAGAATTTAAATAAAATATCTAAATATAAGTGCTAAAGGCACCAATATTTAATTATAATGATGGGTTTTGTTTGGCATTTTCTGTGTTCATACAGTTCATACCGTTATGCGAGATGCCTTTACCCCTTCAGTATCTAGTGATCTTTACAAAGCTGCACGTGGTAATTAATTTCACCCAAAGCTTTAAAGACCGTTGTTATTACTTGAATTTTACCATGATGGGAGGTCTAAGGTACATATAGGGTACCCTATACATATTGATACTGGTGGTCTCAGGTCGAACGACCGCGTTGGGTTACCTAATTGCTAAGTAATTGAAGCAACTCGATAATAAAAAAAATGTTTAAGGTATTATACTATATTAACACATGCGCATGGTATGTGTAGGTAGATCATAACTATAGGTTACATAATCGCTACAAATAATTAATACTGAATACTGGGAATTACGAGTATGAATTATTGTAAACAAAATATGATTGTAGCCTTAGTGTTATAATTAGGTACTTAAAGCAAAATTAATATGAAACCAGTAGATATCTAACGAAAAGAAGCATTAAATGATTCACCAAATGAACTTTGTTTATCAGCAATCTTGTGTTTGTAAAATATGTGTGCATCAGTGTGTTATGGATTACTCATTATTTCCCCTTGACCTCTAGCGCGGGAATAAATTACTTGGGTGCTCCATTATTCAGTTCAGTCGCAGGAGCGTCGGACGTCGCGCTCTCGCTCCCAACATGAAGCTTCCGCTACTAGTTGTGTTTACATTCATACTAATATCGCAAATAGAAAACAGTGAGTGCCGACAGATCTCATGGTTCCCAAACGTTATAGACAGTATATCAAATAAAACGAATCAAATATCAAACTACGTGCGCGAAAAAGGACGAACATTGAAGCACTTTTACGTTGAAAATGTACGAAACAAGATCACTTCATACCTTGGTATGGACAACAGCGATTCAAACAACATCGAAAAGCCTGAAGACAGACAATCGAGAATGAACAAAAAATTCAAGAACATCGTCGTAGAAGCAGAGTCCTCAGAGAATAATATATTTGACACCATAGCGCCTGCTGCAGTGGATTATAAGTGCACGAATGATGACCCCATGATCCACATGAGTACTCCGCAACTGATTGCTGCCCATGGTTACCCAGCCGAATCCCACACTGTTGTGACAGACGACGGATACATCCTGACCATACATAGGATACCACGTTCCAAAAACGCTGCAAATAAAGTAATCCCTAGGAAAACAGTGCTAATGCATCACGGTTTGCTCGGAAGCTCTGCTGATTGGGTTCTAGCAGGCCCTCAAAAGGGTCTGGGTTATATTCTATCTGAAGCCGGTTACGATGTGTGGTTAGCTAACGTCAGAGGAAATACTTACTCGCGAGCTCATATTTCAAGAGACATAGATTCATTTGAGTTCTGGAATTTCACATTCCACGACGTAAGCCAACATGATCTTCCTGCCGTTATAGACTACATTATGGAGGTGAAAGGGTTGGATACAAAAATTAATTACATCGGACATTCTATGGGGACCACAGTGTTATTCGCTCTATTATCAACAAAAACCCAATACAACAAAATATTAAGAGCTGGGTTCGCTTTGGCGCCAGTCGCGTACATGACAGACATAAAAAGCCCGATAAAACTTCTAGCAAAGTACAGCGATAACATAGAGTATCTAATGAAGCTACTCGGGGCTAATGAGTTCCTTCCTCAAAACGCAGTTCTGAGGTGGTTATCAAAACATGCTTGTGAGATAAATCATTACGAGGAAGCGATATGTGAAAATTCCATGTTTGTTTTGTGTGGACATGATGAGCGGCAATTTAATAGATCATTGTTGCCAATAATTTTGGGGCACGTGCCAGCGGGTGCGTCTACGAAAACTCTAGTGCACTACGCTCAGGAGATCAAACAGAATGGCAAGTTCCAACAATTTGACTTTGGGCCTGAAGATAATTTGAAAGTGTATGGTACGGCGACTCCACCTGAATATGCGTTGCACAAAATTACGTTGCCAATCGCTTTGTTCAGTTCGGAGAATGATTGGTTAGCTGGTGATGTCGATGTGGCCAACTTATACGTGAAGCTGGTGAACCCTATTGAACATTACATAGTGCCATTGAAGGAATTCAATCACATAGACTTTTTGTGGGCTGTTGACGCGCCAACCCTTGTTTACACAAAATTGCTGGAACTGTTAGAGGAGGGTGTTAGAAAGTCTGTGGATGACGACGTGATAAATAATAATCTATTAGATGATTAAGGTATACCTTCTTAGATATTAATTACTATAGTCGTTGTAAATAAATAAGTATTTTTAATGCACGATTTGTAATTTTGTTGTGCCTACACCCCATATTTACAGTGACCGTAAATATTAGTGCATTCCAAGTGTTGGGTGCCCCCTACACACATTGGGTAAGTAAAAACAAGTACCTACCTACCCTACCTACAAGAATAGGCATTGTAAAGGAGATACATTCATCTGTTTGATTGCCTTGGTAAGTTGTTCTCCGAAATTAATGCTTTATCAAACATTATCATTGTATAACCCATAGCGTAATATTGTATAGATTTCCTACGGATATACCTATGGAGTAAACAAAATATTTTTTTTTAGTTCAGCCCAGGTTATTGCGTTTAAGCAAACAGACTTTAAAATATTACATAATATAGATAGGTACTTATCCATTTAATACAGAATTGTAGGTATGATATAAGACAACACAAATAATCTTCAGTTTTCTAGAATATTTCAAAATCAAGTTAAACGACAAAAAAAAATACTACGCAGTTACCTAATTAATGCGTCTGCATAGTTTTTGTGCGTCATTTTATTAACCTTTTTTTGAGTAATGCGCATGGAGGATATTAAATTCTCAGACATTACCATGAATATGACTTTACTCATTTTGATTATTATTCTTAATTTAAATTAATATTCTGATTCTGATGCGCTTTCCTGTTCATAGTCTCTAACAATTCATACGGTAATGACACTTATGAACGTTAAACCACATAATTAAATATCAAAAGGTAGGTAAACTTTTTGTGTGTCAATCTCTTGGTCTGAGGTAGTGTTTTGTCAGTTAGTTATTGTCCCCTACACACATAAAGGAAGAAAGCTTAAGTAAGTACTTAAAAAAATTCAAATAATAGAAAATCTACCCCTTATCCTTCGACAGGTTCCCCAAGGATACAATGTGCATTGTTACTCGTGTTATTTTTTTTTATAACTAATTCGGAACTCTAAGACAGAAGATTTTAAACAAATAGGTACCATGGTGGCATTTTTTTTCTCGGTTTGTCTAAACATTAAGTTACTAGCTACTCTCGAGCGGTTTCACCCGCTGCGCGCTGCTCGGCTCCATTTAATCGTAGCGTGATGTTTTATAACCTACACCTAGAACTCAGGAATATTGTAGCTATCTATCAGTAAAACAATTTTGGCAATCCGACCATCGGTTCCAAAGATTACCCCCTACATACAAACTTACAAATACTTTTTTTTTTGGTGTCGGGTTGGAAAATCCTCATGGAGACCCACCGCCCTCTGGTAAGGGCGAAGGGTACCTACCGTCAGACTCTTACTGACTAAAAACCAACCCGGTGTTCCTCCAATAACCCATGTGTCGGAGGGGCGGGTATCGCCGAAGCATTCGTCGCAACCAAACTTAGGTACAAATACCTCTTTATAATATTAGTATAGATAAAGGATAGCAGTCGGTGTACCTAGGTTTAAAAACAAAAAAAAAACAGTTTATATCCATTTGGAAATAGGGGCATAATTATAACAAACTAGCGACCCGTTGTTCACCCGGGTAGGTACATCCATGACAACAACTATCTCGGTAACGAAGAACGACCAAAGTGTCGCTATTAATATCCGATTTCGCAATTTACTCTCAAAAGAACAGACTAATAGGAACTGAACGGCTTTTTGTGTTTTTTTACTTCAGACAAAAACAATAAGAGTCGGACCCGGACCAGTGTAAATTGGTGCGCGAGATTTCAGATGAGCAACACATTTTATTAGATTATAGATATGTATAAAGATTATAAGTAAAGAACAGAAGAGCTGAACATCGAGCTCACGGGCGTGCAATCGGAGATGCCAATGTCCAGCAGTGGACGGAAATAGGCTGACGATAATGATGATGATGTAACGGAATAAGTAAATGACAACACCTATTAAAATAGTCGACCTGTATATTTTATTACTTACCTATGAAGTTTTAATAAAAAAATGAAGTCCAATGCAAAGTGGATTGACTATTGCCGTTGCACTGTATAATACAGTCCACATTATCTTTGCTGGTCAAAACCTTAGACTGGCATTTGATTCCCAGGTCATGGTAAGTCCAGACCAGACCCGAAGAACCAATAGACCACCACAGACGGAGTCCTAATAATAGGCCTTTAATGTTTAGCCGGGGTTGCGGAGCAAGCGCTATAAGTCACCGCGGCCTCGGCCTAGAGCAGGAGAAGGAACGGGGGTTTTTTAGTTCGTAAGTGTGTGACACTCCCTCCCACCCTTCCTTGGGCTTTTGCTAATTTTCCCCTCACAATAAAAGCATCTCTTATTTTTGAAGAGGGACTGTCGTTAAATATCTTCTCTCGGGCTAGAGCGAGTATTAGACTCATACTGACTTAATACTATTTTCATAAGTACCTACTTACCTAATCATTCTAATTCCAGCATCTATTTACATAAATTATTTATAGCCCATATTTCCGAATACTGATTAATCTTTGTTTGTGTGTAAGTGGAGCATGTTTATAAAACGAACTCAATTATGCAGAGTACTTAATACCTAGTTAATAGTGTATTGTACAAATTCTCGATACTCGTAAATCAAACGCGTACTTATCTTCTAAGTACAATAGGTATCGAGTTCTCGCTTGTTGTTCATCAAACAATGTCTCGTATTGGATTACCTGGTTATGTTACATCAGTCGCCATGTTAAGTAGGTATATCTACACTTCACATAAGTTGCGGTAGGCCACATTTATTTTGCGGCTCCTACTGCTGGACACTGGACCGCAACGGCGATTCGGCCAATACTAGAGAAATGGGTGGGAAGACGGCATGGTGTTGTGTCCTTTCACATCACCCAGGTTTTGTCGGATCACGGCTGCTTCGGTGAACCTACACCCGTGTGCCACCATTGCGGTGGTGGCCCTGACATAGGTCGACACACCATTGAGCTGTGTCCCACCTGGGAAGAACAGCGCTACGCATTGGCTGCTTATCCGGGTGATGTCTTCTCGCTGCCGAATTTGGTGAGAGTTATGATCGACAGCGAAGCCGGCTGGGAATCTGTAGCTTCTCTCGGTGAGCAAGCAATGTCGCAGAAGGAGGCGGCGGAGCGGGTGCGAGAGGCAGCTGCTCTTGCAGAAGACTCGATTCGTCGTAAGAGAGTGGAAATTATGTCACCTAGATATAGTCAGTGCAACCGGCTAAAAGTGTGTGCCAATGCATGATGTTTCTAACATAGCAAGGAAAACCTTTGTTCATTTTCTAAATTGACTCTTGACTGCTTGTGTGAAGTTGTGTGACTCAAACCTGGATTTGTAAAGATAAGTTCAGGTTTCTACACGATGTGTTTTGTTAGTGGTGTCATAATGCGTTAAAAAAATACACATAACTAGGTACCTATCTATAACTTAAAAGTCACATTGGTACTCATTGGTACTTGCAAGGTTTCCATCCCTCATGCATGAGAAGTGAAAGCCTTAACCTCGGGGCCACCACGACCTTTTTAACAATATTAACTTTTTACTAACTACGTACTAGTTAGACAACAACAATAAAACGTCATAACTTTTAAATTACTTACGTCCAATTCTCATTGAAATGAATGACTCAATCAAATATTATTGTGATATTGTAACACATGAATTGATAAAACTGTTACATCGACACTAAAAATACAGAGTCGGATTTGCAGAAGCGTACCGTGCCTTAGCGGGGCTCCGGATAAAAATGTTTAGACGCCCCAAAAAGGATAAAGATTACCTAGGTACTTAAAAAAATGCAGTAGGTATAATAAAAAATATATTTATTTATCTATGATACTAATACAATTGATTGTCCGTAACTTTTTCCTTGCAATTATTACACATCGTTCTTAGGCATAGATTTAGTTCAACCATCATGTTTCATTGATAAGTAAGTTATTAGTATTATCGCTTTCTCTTTCCCTGTATCCCTGTGTGTAAATCTTTAAAATACCGCGATGATATTATTATAATATAATTATGTACAGCAAAATATTATGGTTTTGAATAAATATTTTGTTTGCAGTTTGCAGCGATACCGGACGGCGGTAGTGGCGATTGTGAGATTGTTTCAGTGAGTGAAGCCAGAGGGAGTGATTACGTTTTTATAAACAACAGTCATAGTATTCTGTATTGTATTTAGTATCAGCATACCCGTCCTTGTCCTTCATGTACCTAGGTACCCATCCGAAGCCGGGGCGGGTAGCTAGTATAAGTAGGTATCTATCTAATGACACAACGCAATTTCAGTTCCGGAAGTTTCCCTTTGGAGGTGAGGATCATTGATAATACAGCATCAGGGTTTTTTTATTGTTAAGTTTTATCTAATGACGTATAGTAGATATATATATATTCATCAAACCCCAAACGAACGCCGGCTTTTCCACACCTATTGTGTTACTATAATTGTGACTCATATTACGACGACTTAAAAGGTTAAATGTAAATCTCTTCTATCCTTTCACGGCACCACAGGGTCCCGGACCTTTGGAAGGCGTACGAGGAGCCGAAGCCAACTCGCAGAGGCCCGTTGAACAGTTTTAATCTAATAATTAGTGTAGGTATTATTTTCTAGAATATAATCCTGCAATACGTCTCTGGTTATACTGAGCCTTACTCTACTCTACTATCTCTATAAAATGAGTCATTGATTCGTAGGCATTGACCTTTGCGATCTATGAATTGTTGACCTAATGAGTCAAAACAATATAACAGGGTTATCTGCAATTCTGCGCTTGCCAAGTGATGTTTTTTTGTTAAATCTTTTTGTGTTGTTCTAACCTAACATAACTGACCACCAGTAAGTCACGTACCTAACGAATATGCTATGGCTGGTCAATTCGCTGCCGTTTGTTGCATGGCGGGTCCGATTCCCGCTCGGAACAACTTTTAATGTGTTTTAGAAATTATTGTTCTAAATCTAGATGTGATGTCTATATGAAATTGTAGGTTTATAAACGCATCCACGACACAGATGAAAATC